TTTAATGAGTATAAAGTTTGATTATATTTTTTTTCGATTTTTTTATCCTTATATTTGACATTAATAACGAACAACTTGAAAACGGTATTTTAAAAAGTATTAAGGACTGATTAGCATCTAATAGCCGATTTTTCATTGATTGTATCATTGTGCGTAACATAATATCTTGTTTAACTCTACTACGATAAGGCGAATTAGTATTCGCTGAAAGCATGTCGAACTCACGACATCACTTTCCTTTCTCGCCTCGAATAGCTTTAAGGAAAAGTTTGACAGGAAAATGTTACCTGACAGGAAAATGTTGATATCTAACTAATAAGGAAAAAAAAACGGAATATGTTTTCACGAATGTAGCAATTCCAAATTATGCAATCATCGGTGCATTATGCGATTAAATATACAATTTAATTCCAATTAGCTTAATTTGATTTACGCGTGCATTTAAAAAAATGTTTTAATAATACTTTAATATAACAAAACGTGTACCAACAAGAATGACACTTTGGTGATATCAAGCAGAATTTCTGGTTATCATAATCAGAAATGAGTTGTTACTATAACCAGAAATTCTGTTTGATCTCACTAAAATGTCATTCTTGTTGTTGGTGCGTTTTATTGGTTTAATTAAAACATTATTCTCTATGTAATTAGTAATTTGAGACGAGAAAAAGTTTGCTTTTTAAATTGCAACATCAATTGATAATAAAATGACTGCAGTGCAACTTCTATGCAGGTTGCTAATATCAAGGTTGCAGGCAGTCACGATCGTCTAAGCCGGATCTCTTTTCTCGGAGCGCGGAGAAGAAATCTCTGAACAATCTTAAGTCGGTAGCGAGAAGATGAGGTCGATCGAATCGCCGGATAGCGGTAGCATTGCGGAGTGAAGAGATGAAGGATCGAAATGGTAGAAGAGAGCGGGGGCGGCGGCTAGATGGGAGGGAAACCGAGAAACGGCGAAATGACGGCGGTCGATGGATGGTTCGTTAAGTAGATGGCTGGTCGGAGGACTAAGCACCAAAACCACCTCACTGTGGTTTCACACCCGCGGAGTGAGAGAGAGAGAGAGAGAGAGAGAGAGAGAGGGGCTGGAGAAAGAAAGAGAAAAATATAGGACAGCAGTAAACAACTCGGAGTTCCTTTGGTCAGGACTCGTATGTTCCTTCGGCCACGGGATCGACGACGACGAGGCTGCGATCCTCCACGAAGAAGAACAAGAAGTCGCCTTCTGAGAATTGATCACTGGAGAATTGACAACGCGAGCATTAGCGTGACGACAATGGTCAGCTGTGAATGGTCAGCTGCGATGAATGTTAAATCAACGATGATGACGACGAAATAGAGCAGCGTGACGTCGATCGTTAAATTATTAATCGAATAACGATGGAAAATCCAATGGAAAGTTCGAACTGATTTGCTCTTATTTTTGTAGATCGGATTTTACGCTCCTCATTATGCATAGATGAAAGAGTGGATTTTCCTATGCATAGGGGAATAAAGATGTAAATGACGTAGCTAATTTACATTTAATTATTTGTCATTTAATCGATATATTATACAATAAGTAATTCAATCCACGTTTAACCTTACCATAATATGCATGAATATTTTTTTCATCAGGTTACGAAATCTAGCAATTAAGAAATGCGATTATTGTATTTCTCGAGAAAGTTTAAATTTAGAATACCGCACTGAGAGAAATGTTCTAATTGTACCAACAAGAAATATAAATCAAATAAGTTGATCAGAATTTTCTGATTATATTAATTAGAATGTTTGATAGATTTTATTGTAAGTGTCTGATTTGTATACCTTTCTTTCAAAAGTCCAATTAATACGATAAGACTTTTCCAATGTATTTACTGATCTGATCTGTTATTTATTATAATATAAAAATAATTGCAAGGACATACACATAAGAGAATGATTAAATGCATTATACGTATAGGATAGTGTTAATTGGAAAACGACAAATTTGAAAATGTCCGTAAAAAAAACAGAGGACGTATGGTCACCGTAATAAAGCATTGTTAGACAAAAAAGGAGGAGCGGAGAAGAAGAGGATAAAAAACGATCCTTCGTTCTGAATGGAATAGGACGTTATTTTTCTTTTCTCACTCGTCCGCTCATAGAGAATCATTCGAGAGAAGCGGACTATTATCCAACAGATGGTTCTGCCGACACCAATCCGAGTAGAGTGTTGTGTTAGTGCCTTTGTTTTGTTACCGTTGTTCCGGTAATTGCGGCAAATACACGGCCATTTTCGGTAATCATCCCCTTCTGCACCCTGCCTGATCGTCCTGCACGGCGGTCCTCTTTGAGAATTTCGAAACGACCTCGACCTTCCGCTTAGTAGGCGTAACGACAGTTTTGCCCGAGAACTGATCAGTATCGACCTCGACCTCACCTCATAATAGAGCTCGGCCGATTTGGACGATATTCGAAACTGTATCATTTGTACCTGTCGCATATATCAATGGCTTGAACTTGTGGATCCCACACTGAAAGAAAAGATTGGCTGAAGATACGGCATAGCACGTTTAATTACAGCAGCCTTGATTGCGTTAGCCTATCCGCAATGTTAGTATAGGGTTTTTTTTTCGATAGGCTACAACACAACCAAAAATTGACTGCTGCAGCTAATTAAAAATGCCATATTTTACCATCTAATTTGCAGCTAATCTTTTCTTTCAATGTACATATTTCTAACAAATAGAACACTGGCCTAAGAAGAATAGCATGGGAATTCCCTAATCTATCATCAACAATTAATTGCAAGCATCACAAAATAACGTGATTGATGACGAATTCTAATTAATGTTGTTACTAATCGACTAATGGTAAGCATGACAAGTATATATAATTACTGATAACGACGAATTCCAGTTAATATTGCTAAATAGGGGAAACCTTAGAGAGATTGTAACAAATTCGCGAGAATAGTATTTTACATATATTTTCTATATAAGAAGACAGAGGTATTCCCCACACGCATGATAGCTTGCATGCGAAAACAGATAATTCCGACTAGTTTTATGTTAATTTTCCTCAAAGCGTGAATAAAACGTTTAACAGCGATGAGATATAATTATCATTTGACAACGTGCTATTAACAAGAGATTTTATTAGAAGTCTCGCAATACAAATTATGTATATCGTAATCTTACAGAGATAACGATCTCTAAAAAAAGACAGGACAGATAAATTTGCAATTTTCTGTTAAAAAAGATAATGATTTCTAATACAAAGGACAAGACTTTGATAAATTTACAATTTTTCATTGAAGAAATTTAAAATATTTGTCTAAAAAAGTAATAAAAAGTTTCAATTTTTCTATAAATTTTTGAAAGTTAAAATTGTTTTTAAGATTATTGAGTTTTCTGTAAGAGAAATCGTACATTTTGAAACTTCTCAATGATCATAGTGAAGGGATTCCCAGAACAAAGTGAATGGTGAATACCCTTGAAAACCGATTTTTATTATTAACCAGTCTTCATTCGTCCAGTGATAATCATCAATGTTTTTACCCACTGATTTTTCCTACTGATTTTTCCGATTAGAAATTATACCTGTTACATATGATATATTAAACGCTAATGTCAAATAAAGATCATCTGGGTCAATCTTTGATTTTTTTAAATATAAAATTACATAAACGTTAAAAATTATCACAAAATACTAAAAGAATATATGCAAAATATATACAATATACAAAAGTTAAATTTTATAATATTCTATCAAAAAATCCAAAATCAAAATCTAAAAAAAACGAATATTTTCACCAAAAGACATTTTGGGATATTTTATAATTCTACAATGTCTTTCTAGGTGAGAATAAAATAGAGTGGTATATAATATGTGTACATTTTAATTAAATGAAATGTTTTATCGCTTCACACATATGAGACAATGACACCGAAAAATTTCTCCGAATCGTATATGATTCATCGCATTATTATTTTTTTCTCTATCTTTCTCCATATTAAGAATGGTTTTATACATAATCCGGATACATGATACTTCAGAAATCCCAATACTTATGATGGTATGTCCCAATAATAGCCATAATACCAGTAATATTACTAA